TTAACTGGAGTAATTTGTTGCATCTGTTGTAGGTGGTCTAGTGCTGCCCATCTACTGCCCATTTCCTCGGGTACCGGAGTTGGAGTTTAGTGTACTGGACACTTTCATAGATTGCTAGGGTACTTCCTCTCCTTTCTCTCCTTTAGTGTACTAGAAACTTCCATAAATTTCATAAACTTCATATAAAAATTTTATTCACTGCTGCTGATGTACTACTTGTGATGCTGCTGTTGCTGCACTACTTGTGATGCTGCTGCTACTTGGCTAAATTTTATTCACTGATGCTGATGTACTACTTGTGATGCTGCTGCTGCTGCTGCACTACTTGTGATGCTGCTGCTACTTGTGATTTTGTCAACTTGTGATGCTGCTGCTACTTGTGATCTTCTGAAATGACCCCTTTCTCCTGAAATGTTGATTAATTTCCGTTTCGGTTGAGAATGGGGCACTCCTAGGTCAAGAAAATTAGCAAAGGTCATGCCCAATTTTCTTGACCTAGAAGGTGCCTGATTCTCAACCGAAACAAAAATTAATCAACATTTATAGTTTGACCTAGAAGATGCCTAATTTGTTAACTCTAGTTCTGTTAATATGAGTGTGTGTGATGGTGACTGAACAGATAAATCATGTCTCCCAACATTTTCAGCTAAGTGGACTCTCACACGCACACTATCTAGCTTTACACTTAAGTAGTGGCGAGATCTGTTCCCTCCACACAATGTGCAACAAGCAAGCAGGTGGATCTAGGTAGCTTCGCTAGATTAGCTATGAGCCAATGTGGTCAAGTCAAAAGAGATGATGCAGATGGATGGATAGATGGATGGATGGGGATGCAGCACCACTCCACCACCTTCACTTGTCTAGCTTGTGGTTTACCCCTCACTCTCTCATGCACCAGAAGAATATGATACATACATCCACTTTGATAAACTAAAACTAGTAAGAGAAGCAGGGCAAAAAATAATTTTTGTATTTATTTTAGATCACATACACAAAATAACCTACCAGCAATACAAATCTAGTTTCAGAAACATGTGATACATACATCCACTTTGATAAGCTAAAACTAGTAAGAGTAACAGGGCAAAAAATAAATCTATGTACGATATAGGGGTGCTACAGCTATATCCTCCTTCCCATCCCACCGGAGCAAGCAAACCTACAAGCTGATCCTCATGTTTTTCCCTCTATTAGTAGACTGGAACTTCCCAATGCTGGCTAGTTTGCACCCCTCTACAAGTTGCTACTGCTTCCGAATAACCTAACAGCCATCGAAATCTAGTTTGAATCAGAAAAATGTGAGAAAACCCATCGATTGAGGTGGACAACTAGTTGTAGATGAGGAAGGGCATTTGAGGCCCCATCGAGTCTATGAAGATGTGATGGGTCCTGATATATTGACTTGCGGATTTATTTTTTCCTAGACTACCTCGGTGTCGACAAACCCTAAATGATGAGACCATGATCTTGTTCCTTGACAATAACCAACTTTTTGACCAAACTTTTTTCCTATTTAGAGCAAAACATGGCCCACAACGATGAGGCCGGTGGTTCAGGCGGCAAGCAATTCTGGGAGCTGTCCCAGGAGATGGAGGAACAACCTCACCGCTATGAGGACGCCGCGGAAGACACCGATCCTGATTACACAAACCCTAGTGGCGTCGGGGATGACACCACTGATGGTGCCGCCGAGGATGCCACCACTGATGATGGCGGCGCATACACAGATGGCAGCCAACCGAAGAAGCAAAGGAAGGACCGGCGCCCGAATGCGCTCCGCACCGTCAAGGAGGAATTCACTCAAGTGGACTCCGACGGGAATCCAACGGAGCCCAAACATATAGTCAAGGGGTACTCGGTTCAGCTCGGGTGCATTCTCCGGAGCACCATCTCGATCAACACCGAGAATCTTAGGCATAAGGACCGAGGGAATTTGCACAACCTCCTCTTCACGAAGCTGCATGAACGATACAAGCTCCTCTTCCTCAGATATCAACCGTCCACCAGTGAGATAGATGAAATGCTACAAATGCAGGGTGACAACGACCACGATTTCATGACCATCACGACAGACGGCGGCTTCATCCACGTTCCTGTCCGATGAGTCGAGTCGAAAGTAGTGATGTGTAGTTCCGAAACATTGATTGGCTCATGTTGTAATTATACTTTAATGAATTCGTATGTCTCTTTGGTTTGGACAGTCGTTCAACTTAGATGTAATCGATGCTATTTATTAGTAGGACCATGAATCATGCTATTAATGTCTTGTTTTTCTCTTCCAATCCTTTTGTTGCATACTTACATATTGCTTATGTATTGTCTGTTGTTTGGCTTGTGCATAGAGATGCCGTCGTATGTCGTGTACAAGGGTAAGGTTCCTGGAGTCTACAACGACTGGGAGGAGTGTCGGAGACAGGTTCACCGTTTCAGCGGTAACAGTTACAAAGGGTACACCACTAGGGTGGAGGCCGAATGTAGATACGCCCGCTATCTAGAGGGAGAGAGGAGGGAGCGTTGGAGGAACCGGATGAGGACCAGTTTGATCGCGATGATGCTCATCGTGATGACCACAACTCTCTTCTATGTGATGGTAGTTTAGATGATCGATATCGACTTGTAATGTGAAGGCAAACTCGATACTCGCGGTCTTGAGACTTGTAATGTTTTATCTTTGTTCGGTCTTTTGAATTCGGAGACTAATATGATGAATTGTATTCGGAGACTAATCTTCTATTGTATTTGATGAATCTGATGTTGCTATGTGCTGCTGTCTATATTCTGTCCAATAATATATTTTGTAACCTACGCAAAAATCAGAAAAGCAAAAAAAAAACTTAATATTCATACTAATGGCGCACCACACAAGACACTAATGGCGCACTGTGATCATCACACTAATGGCGCATTAACTGCTGGTGCGCCATTAGAATGCCAAACCACATGGGTACATATGGCCCTCTGGGAGGCATTCTAATGGCGCACTGTAGGCTATACTAATGGCGCACTACGTGGTGCGCCATTAGAACACCAGATACTAATGGCGCACCGGTGGTGCGCCATTAGAATTTAATTCTAATGGCGTGATGCCAGTGGCGCACCGGTAGTGCGCCATTAGAAGGCAAATACGGTGCGTCACTAGCATGCCTTTTCCTAGTAGTGTTTTCATGTTTGGACTTTGGATGCTTCTGGCGTAATCGTTTTCTTTAATTAATACAATGTGATATTTGGGCTAAAAAACGAGGTAACTCCCAACCAGAAACAACAGGCCGGTACTAAATAACACAAACCCTTTCTCCTCCCGGTTCATCAAAAAAGAATCCTCCTCCCCAATTTCTGTCGTCTCCTTGCAAATAAATGTGGGCTCCACCCCTGTCTCTGATGGCATACAAGAACATCAAAAGTGGTTGCTTAGGGCATCTCCAATGCCCTCAAACCATCCGCATTTGTCCGGACCGAATTGTCCGGACATGTTTTGTCACCCAACATGGTATACCGTGAAGCTTTGCACGGTCCGGACACCAGCCATGTTCGACTCCAACGCCCCGCCCCATTGAAATCCCGCTCTTGGTCCCCTTTTCTTCTACTCCACCCTTGCCCCCCTTCTTTTCATCCGCACCCTCAGCGTCCGCCGCCGCCGCCGTTGTACCTCTTCGGCCACCGCCCAGGCATCCTTGGACATCCAAAGACCCCGCCCACATGATTGCGGCCTTGGACTACGCCGTTGTTCACACAGGAATCCCTCCACAGCTAGGTACCCTCCGCACTCCTGCTGACGTGGCGGAGAACGCGACTGGCAGGTGTTCGTTTAAATGCCATTAAGTTTTTTTAACTTATTGCTTTCTACAGAAGCACGGCAGCGGGATACTCAGTGTTTGAGGATGACTTGATGTGTGATGCGTGGTTGGCCATTTTTGAGGACTTTGTAGGCATGAACAAGGGCTTGGCCTTTTGACAAAGCTTCCTTGCTTCATTTCATGAACAAAAGGACTTCGTGCCCTACGACATGCACGTTATCCATGCACACAATATGAAGTAGCTAACACATTGGTGGTACACCATCTACAACTTCGTCGTGAAGTTTTAGGGTGCGATTCACCAAGTGAAGACAAGGTGGCCATTAGGCTTGTCAACCATGGAGATCGTAAGTGTTGCTTTCTGTTACTCTACATGTTGGTTAATTTTATTCATTCACTCAATGTTCTTGTACATGTTTTATAGCCTACACGTGCTGCCATGATATACTACAGAACCGAGGGCAGGCCATTCACGCACATACATTGTTGGATGGAGTTTAAGGGGCCGTTTGTGTGGGATGATATGTGTTGGTTCTGGCTTTAGTATCATTGAATTTAGAATAGATGATTTTAAAAACTTGTTGAACACAGGGCTATCTCCTTGAATTTAGACTATTGTTGTATTGAGTGTTTCAGGCATGGTTTAGTTAAAGGAACGGAACATCGTTCGTTTTATGTAAATTATATGTTTAAACTTTGCTGAATTCCATCATGTTTGATGAAATTCGTCCGGATTGTTGGAATCCGTTTTGAAATGTATGCGGATATGGTTGGAGGCCCAGCTTCCACACTAGTGCCTACGGACTGATCTCCATCGGCCCACGGATGAATACAGTGTCTGGTTTGAGAGTCAGTATTGAAGAAGCCTAAGCGAAAAAGATAGCAGCTGCAGGTCGGCAAGTCGGTTTAGTTAGAAAAAAATTCAGAGCATGATGGCAGCACTGATGTAAGCAAGTAATTGACGTCAGCCTATGCGTACTATAGTCGGTTTAGCTTCCTATTTAAGGGCGATGCCCATCGTTGTAACCTCAAGCATTCAGCTAGCTTCAGTACAAGGAAAGAATGGATCAGTCTCATGTAGTACTAGTACTCCAGTTCATATGTCCTCCTCGTCTGTTCCTAGGCATCCGTGGTGCTAGTTTGGGCTAACAATAACCGTCTCGTCTACACGACCACTACTGCAGCAATCCATCCAGAACACCGAAAATGGATGGAGCAAGGCGCTCCACAGATGCCTCCGACGAGCAAGAGCCGAAGCGTCCGTGCCTTGCAGTTGCAGGCGGCCGCAATGGTGGTGCAGGTGGGGCCGGCGGCAGTGATGCGGGTGACGACGACAGCCACGGCGATGCGGGTGGGGGCGGCGGTGATGCGGGTGGGGGCGGCGGCGTTGGCCATGCCGCCGACGACCCGCCGCCGACGCTGAGCACCTTGGGGGACGACGTCCTCCGCGCCATCCTGTCGCGCCTCGAGTCGTCCCGGCAGACGGTGCGGATGTGCGTGCTGTCCAGGAGTTGGAGGCACCTCTGGCGCTCCGTGCCGTCCATCCACATCGACCGGCGGGAGTTCGGTAGCGACCACGAGCTGCAGAGCTTCACCGACTTCCTCCTGGACCACCATAACAACCTTGTGCTCCTGGATGCGTTCCGGCTGCTGCTAAGCTCTCAAGATCTCCGCCTACCGGCCAGCGATTGGGTCCGTCGCGTCATCAACCAAGATGATACACCGCCTCACCAGCTCAAAAGGTTGCACCTTTGCAACGTGCACCTGGACATGGATTTTGCGAGCCACATCAGTGACGACAGGTGCCCCGCGCTGGAGGACGTGCGACTGGAAAACTGCAGTTACTTGACGGCCCGGTATGAGATCACCTCCTTCTCACTCAAGAAATTGGTTGTGGATGGTTTATACATGGTGCAAGATGACGAAAGTGATGATGATGAGGATGAGATTTTCAAGTTGATTATAAGGGCTCCTGCTCTTGTTTCTCTCCGCTTGGCCGGAGAGCTTGATCACATTGTTGATATCAATGAACCACATACCGTGCCGTCTCTTGTCGATGCGTCGGTTCATCTGCCCGTGATGACTGACGAGGAGCTCAACAACGTTGAAGAAAACGATGCCACTGCGCACCAATCGGTTCTTGGCGTGCTGCTTAATGTGACAACTTTGACCCTGTCGCATTGCAGGGTATGTTCTTCTTGGCATCCTTTTTATTCCGTTTGCATCTCCTTTATCTAGAGCTATTTAAAGACCGGGAACTGGATGTCTGGTTTTCAGTTGCTGTTCCAACCTGAGGATTCTGTGGAACTTCAGCTTCTTGTATTCCAGAACCTAAGAACCTTGTTCCTGGACGAGTGTTACATTGTTGGCGAGGACTTCGTGGGGCTGAAGCCTTACCTGCAGAAGTCACCTAACCTGGAGAAGCTCATTTTGCGCTGTAGCAAGGTGCAACCAGGGTACTCTTTGGTTGGTATACTAACCTTAGTCATTATATATTGTGGCACAAAAAAGTCATTATTTACCACACTTTGTTTGGCATACATGTACATGTTTAAAGGTTAAGTTATCAACCCCGCAAAAAAGAGAGGTTAAGCTATCAAAATAGATTCCACACTTTGCCACATTTGGGAGAATCATACCACACTTTTCTAAGCCTATGACACGTGAGAAAACAATGTTGCTACCAGCAGTGTGGCTGTAAACCAGACAAGTGACAAACCCGTTAAAATTTGTGGTGTGGAGAAGTCTGGCAACTTTAGTATACCAACAAACATGCGCTACTTCTTTCATCTATTTTTTCCACAACTCAATTTTGTCTGCAATATTAATCCTCCATGCTGTCAACAGAACTGGTATTTCGGAGACGACCTGGTGGATTTCATGTGCGAGAACCTTATGCTTACTCAAATTATATACCAGCATGATGATGATGCTGCCCCCCTATTGGTCGCGTTTTTGCTGAGCATTTCAAGGAGCCTGCCGAACAACAAGATTGAACTCATTAGAGTCGAATAGCAACGCCATGTTTTTGTATCATGTTTGCCTTTTACTAGTAGCTAGCACGGGAGTTATTGTGTGTGAAACATCTTTGGTTTTTGACCCATATTGGCATGTACGTATTGTTGTGGTATTTTGATTTTCAACACAAATTGGCATGTATTGTTATGGTATTTGCAAGAACACTATGACATGATCAATTTTTTTGTCTGCACATAGTACCAGATTGTTAAGCTAAATGAAAGTTTACATCGTGATTAATGGTCAGTGGTTTATACGTGAGTTAGCAGGTTGTACGTGGTATCAATACGTGAAAATAAAGTTTCACCCTAAGTCAGTTGGTCGTTTACACACGGTATTTGATAGGTATGCAAAATAATGTGTCGAGCCAACTTTATAAACAAGCACTAGTAGAAAACAGGGCTTTGGTCCAGGCCGGGTCAGCCCATTAGTCCCGGTTCAGTCCAGAACCGGGACCAATGTGGGCATTGGTCCTGGTTCGTGAGCCCAGGGGGCCGGCCGGGCCACGTGGGCCATTGGTCCCGGTTCATCTGGAACTTTTGGTCCCGGTTGGTGGGATGAACCGGGACCAATGGGCCTCGCTCCTGGCCCACCACCATTGGTCCCGGTTGGTGGCTTGAACCGGGACCAAAGGCTCCCCTTTAGTCCCGGCTCATGTCACCAACCGGGACCAATGAGGTGCCTATATATACCCCTCGCTCGCGAGCAGAGCACCCAAGTGCTCTGTTTTTCTCTGGCCGAGGGGGAGAGGGCTTGGTGGTGCTCTAGCTCACCTCCTATGCACACAAGGTGTTCGATGGAATGTCCGAGCCACACTACTTAAGCTTTCTCCTCTCCAAACTCGACCTCCAAGCTCCATTTTCCATAATATTTGTCTAGGTTTAGCGGTCCGTCACGCCCCGTCCCCGTCTTCACCGCCGTCGATCACCCGCGCCGAGCTCATCACCGGCACCACCGTGGTGAGCCTCTTGTTCTTATCTTCTTTCTGAAAGGAAAAATATTCTTACTTGTATGTTTACATAGATACTTGTATTATTTTCTTACTTTTATTATTGCATCTTATATAGTGCGATGGTTTTGGTTCCGCCCCCGTCGGCCCTCGTCTTGTCTATGATTCGGATGTGGTATATATATTATCTTTATAACTATTGGTTCATTTATTGTTTATGAAAATTATGCCGACCAACGTGACATAAATTTTATTTATGTAGAATGTATGTGAATCTAAATGCCAACCGACCCTATTGTCGAGAGGTTAAATTTAGTTGAAGAAGAAAACAATTTGTTGAAGGAAAAAATAAAAAAAATTGAGGAGCAGAAGATGATATTGGAGTTGCATGTTGCGGATGTCGTTGATGATCACAAGATCAAGATGGGTGCAATGCGCTTGAAGATTAGAAAGATTAGAAAATATGCCATTCACACCGAGGCTTGGTATCATTATGCCGTTGGATCAATTGTTACCTTGGTTGCGATTATGATCGCATTTGTTTTCGCATTGAAATGTTTTACATAGTTTCAATGTATAGTTTAATTAATTAGATGGTCTGGAGAGCTATATGTTGTTAGATGAGAACTATGTATGCACTTTGGTTTTAATACGATGATGAACTTCTATTAATTTGGACACTTAATTATATATAATGCACGCAGATGAACTGGCAATGGATGTACGGTGACAGACACACCCGCGAGTACATTAAGGGCGTGCATGAGTTTCTCGATGCGGCCGAGGCAAACAAGCAGAATGGTTTTATGTGTTGTCCATGCACTCAATGTGGGAATACGAGGTCTTACTCTAACCGGAAAATCCTTCACTCCCACCTGCTTTACAAGGGTTTCATACCACACTATAATGTTTGGACGAGGCACGGAGAAATAGGGGTTATGATGGAAGACGGCGAAGAAGAAGAGTACGATGACAACTATGTGCCCCCTAAATACGGTGATGCTGCAACGGGGGGAGCTGGTGAAGATCAAGAGGAACCAGACGATGTGCCCAATGATGCTGCAACGGGTGAAGCTGCTGAAGATCAAGAGGAACCAGACGATGTGCCCGATCATGATGATCTTCGCCGGGTCATTGTCGATGCAAGGACGCAATGCAAAAGTCAAAAGGAGAAGCTGAAGTTCGATCGCATGTTAGAGGATCACAAAAAAGGGTTATACCCCAATTGCGAAGATGGCAACACAAAGCTCGGTACCGTACTGGAATTGCTGCAGTGGAAGGCAGAGAATGCTGTGGCTGACAAAGGATTTGAGAAGCTACTGAAAATATTGAAGAAGAAGTTTCCAAAGGATAACGAATTGCCCGACAGTACATATGCAGCAAAGAAGGTCGTATGCCCTTTAGGATTGGAGGTGGAGAAGATACATGCATGCCCTAATGACTGCATCCTCTACCGCGGTGCATACAAGGATCTGAACACATGTCCGGTATGCGGTGCATTGCGGTATAAGATCAGACGAGATGACCCTGGTGATGTTGACGGTGAGCCCCTCAGGAAGAGGGTTCCTGCGAAGGTGATGTGGTATGCTCCTATAATACCACGGTTGAAATGTCTGTTCAGAAACGAAGAGCATGCCAAGTTGATGCGATGGCACAGTGAGAACCAAAAGAAAGATGGGAAGTTGAGAGCACCCGCTGACGGGTCGCAGTGGAGAAAAATCGCGAGAAAGTACTGGGATGAGTTTGCAAAGGACCCAATGAATGTATGGTTTGCTTTAAGCGCGGATGGCATTAATCCTTTCGGGAAGCAGAGCAGCAATCACAGCACCTGGCCCGTGACTCTATGTATGTATAACCTTCCTCCTTGGATGTGCATGAAGCGGAAGTTCATTATGATGACAGTTCTCATCCAAGGCCCTAAGCAACCCGACAACGAAATTGATGTGTACCTAAGGCCATTAGTTGAAGAACTTTTATAGCTGTGGCATGGAAACGGTGTACGTACGTGGGATGAGCACAGACAGGAGGAATTTAACCTTAAGGCGTTGCTGTTCGTGACCATCAACGATTGGCCCGCTCTCAGTAACCTTTCAGGACAAACAAATAAAGGATACCACGCATGCACGCACTGTTTAGATGACACTGAAAGTATATACCTGGACAAATGTAGGAAGAATGTGTACCTGGGCCATCGTCGATTTCTTCCGACCAACCATCAATGTCGAAAGAAAGGCAAGCATTTCAAAGGCGAGTCAGATCACCGGAAGAAGCCCGCCATGCGCACCGGTGATCACGTGCTTGCTATGGTCAATGATTTACACTACGTAATTATAAGTGCATCTAGTGCCACCTCTAGTTGGTTTTGGAGTAACGCACTTTCAGTAATCTTTGGAAAGGGTCCCGGTGGACTAGCTGTTCCGAATGACGCTGAGGGACACGCACCCATGTGGAAGAAGAAATCTATATTTTGGGACCTACCCTACTGGAAAGACCTAGAGGTCCGCTCCTCAATAGACGTGATGCACGTGACGAAGAACCTTTGCATGAACCTGCTAGGCTTTTTGGGTGTGTATGGGAAGACAAAAGATACACCTGAGGCACGGGAGGACCTGCAACGTTTGCACGAAAAAGACGGCATGCCTCCGAAGCAGTATAAAGGTCCTGCCAGCTACGCTCTTACGAAAGAAGAGAAAGAAATCTTCTTTGAATGCCTGCTCAGTATGAAGGTCATGACTGGCTTCTCGTCGAATATAAAGGGAATAATAAATATGCCAGAGAAAAAGTTTCAGAACCTAAAGTCTCATGACTGCCACGTGATTATGACGCAACTGCTTCCGGTTGCATTGAGGGGCTTCTACCGGAAAATGTCCGATTAGCCACTGTGAAGCTATGTGCATTCCTCAATGCAATCTCTCAGAAGGTGATCGATCCAGAAATCGTACCAAGGCTAAGGAGTGATGTGGCGCAATGTCTTGTCAGTTTCGAGCTGGTGTTCCCACCATCCTTCTTCAATATCATGACGCACGTCCTAGTTCATCTAGTCGACGAGATTGTCATGTATTTCTACACAATATGTTCCCCTTTGAGTGGTTCATGGGAGTCCTAAAGAAATATGTTTGTAACCGCGCTAGGCCAGAAGTGTTGGGGAACGTTGCAGAAAACAAAAAATTTCCTACTCGTTTCACCAAGATCATCTAGGAGTTCATCTAGCAATGAGTGATTAGATGCATCTACATACCTTTGTAGATCGTGCACGGAAGCGTTCAAAAGAACGGTGATGATGTAGTCGTACTCGACGTGATTCAAATCACCGATGACCAGCGCCGAACGGACGGCACCTCCGCGTTCAACACACGTACGGGACGGGAGACGTCTCCTCCTTCTTGATCCAGCAAGGGGAAGGAGAGGTTGATGAAGATCCAGTAGCACGACGGCGTGGTGGTGGATGCAGGGCGTCACAGCAGCAGGGCTTCGCCGAGACTACGAGGGAGAGACGTAACGGGGGGAGATGGAGGCGCCAGGGGCTGGTGTGAAATCCCTCATCTCTCCCCCACTATATATAGGAGTGCCAAGGGGGGGCGCCGGCCCTAGTAGATGAGATCTACTAGGGGGGCGGCGGCCAAGGGGAGGTTTCCCTCCCCCCAAGGCACCTAGGGGTGCCTTCCACCACATGGACTCTTCCATGGTGGAAACCCTAGGCGCATGGGCCTATAGGGGCTGGTGCCCTTGGCCCATCTAGGCCAAGGCGCACCCCCTACAGCCCATGTGCCCCCCCGGGACAGGTGGCCCCACCCGGTGGACCCCCGGGACCCTTCCGGTGGTCCCGGTACAATACCGATAACCCCGAAACTTGTCCCGATGCCCGAAATAGCACTTCCTATATATAATTCTTTACCTCCGGACCATTCCGGAACTCCTCGTGACGTCCGGGATCTCATCCGGGACTCCGAACAACATTCGGGTTTCTGCATATACATATCTTCATAACCCTAGCGTCACCGAACCTTAAGTGTGTAGACCCTACGGGTTCGGGAGACAAGCAGACATG